TATAGAGCCCGCTGCCCTGGGTACTAGTGAGTCTGCTCTCTCTGGTATGGTGCCCCGTGTACTTGCTCCCTCCAGTGCTGTCCCGACTGGTTTCGAGTCTGCTCTCTCAGGTACAGCACCCACAGAGACTGCTCTCTCAGGTACCGCACCGGCTGAGGCCTGTCACACCTTCACCCTTGACTCAGGTGCTTCCCGTTGCTTCTTTCGTGACAGTACTGAGCTCACACCGCTCCCTGCACCGGTCCCAGTCTCCTTGGCTGACCCCTCTGGGGGCCCAGTCCTTGCCCAGTCCACCACTGTCCTCCCTTGTCCGGCGGTTCCGTCTGGCTCGTTGTCGGGTTTCCACCTCCCCTCGTTCTCGACGAACCTGGTGAGCAACGCTGTCCTCCAGGATCAGTGGGTTGACACCTTTACCCCTGGCGGACAGCGTGTGGCGATCTGCACGTGCTCCAGGACTGGCCGTCACCTGGCTACGTTCACCCGTCGGCCGGGGTCGAGTCTCTACACACTGACCACTGCGTCTCCCCAGGTAGCTGCTGTCGGTCAGGTGTCTGCGTCAGGTCTGGTGGCCCACGCCTGTGAGTGTCGTTCCCTGTCGCACCAGACTCTTCTCTGGCACCACCGCCTGGGTCACCCCTCCTTGCCACGCCTTCGTGGCATGCACCGTCGCCTCCTTGTGTCCGGTCTTCCCCGGTCCCTCCCTCCCCTACCTGCCTCGCCTGCGCCGCCCTGCCTTCCTTGCGTCGAGGGGCGGCAGCGCGCCGCTCCTCACTCCTCCTCGTTCCCCCCGACAGAGGCTCCTCTGGAGACCCTCCACCTGGACGTGTGGGGCCCAGCCCGCGTTCGTGGTCAGGGCGGTGAGCGGTATTTTTTGCTGGTTGTCGACGACTACTCGCGTTACACCACGGTCTTCCCCTTGCGCACCAAGGGTGAGGTCCCTGCTGTTCTGATCCCTTGGATCCGCACGGTTCGTCTCCAGCTCCGCCGCCGTTTCCGGACGGATCTTCCTGTCCTGCGTCTGCACTCTGACAGAGGTGGTGAGTTCTCCTCCGACCTCTTGAGGACCTTCTGTCAGGCGGAGGGCATCGAGCAGACCTTCACGCTTCCGGACTCCCCACAGCAGAATGGGGTTGCTGAGCGCCGCATTGGCCTGGTCATGGAGGTCGCTCGTACCTCCTTGGTCCACGCGGCGGCTCCCCATTTTCTGTGGCCGTTTGCTGTCCGGTACGCCGCGCATCAGCTCAACCTCTGGCCCCGTGTCTCCTTGCCGGAGACCTCGCCCACACTGCGTTGGACGGGGGAGGTTGGCGATGCGTCGCGCTTCCGGGTGTGGGGTGCTCGTGCCCTTGTCCGCGATACGTCCGCGGACAAGCTCTCCTCCCGCACGCTTCCCTGTGTCTTCCTTGGCTTTGTCCCTGACGCGCCTGGCTGGCAGTTTTACCACCCCACCTCGCGCCGGGTCTTTGCCTCTCAGGATGTCACCTTTGACGAGTCGGTCCCTTTTTACCGTCTCTTCCCCTACCGCACTGCCCCCCTCCCTCCCCCGCCGCTTTTCCTTGCTCCTGGTCCCCCTCCGGTAGACCCCCTTCCCCCTCAGGGTCCTGCTCCTTCAGGTGTCTCTCAGGTAGACCCTCCTCCCGTCGCTGAGCCTGTCGAGGTCACAGGTGACTCAGGTGCTGCTGCGGGTGGTGCTGCTGGGAGTGCTGAGCCTGGGGGTGCTGAGCCTGGGGGTGCTGGGCCTGGGGGTGCTGGGGCTGCAGGTGCTGGGACTGAGGGTGCTGGAGCTGAGGGTACGGTGCCTGAGAGTACGGAGCCTGGGGGTGCTGCGCCTGGGGGTGCTGAGCCTGCGGGTGCGGAGCCTGGGGGTGCTGCGACTGGGGGTGCTGAGCCTGCGGGTACTGAGCCTGCGGGTACTGAGCCTGGGGGTGCTGCTACTGAGCCTACGGAGCCTCGGGTTACTGCGTCTGGGGGTGCTCCGGTTCGGGGTGCTGAGCAGTCTCTCACACCGCAGCAGCTTCGTGACTGGTACGTCCGACGCTTTCGTCGTCCTAGTGGCTCGGCTGGAGTTGGGGGTGCTGGAGCTGCTCGTCCTGGGGGTGCTCGTACTGGGGGTACTGGAGCTGCCGGGACTGGCTGTTCTGGGAGCACTGCGACTGGAGCTGCTGGAGCTGGGGACTCTGGCGCTGGCGGTGCTAGCGGAGTTGGAGCTGCCGACTCTGGGGGTGGCGCTGCTGCTGGTGCTGCGGACCCACCTGGTGGAGCTGCTGCTGGTGCTGACGAGTCGGACGGTGGAGCTGCTGCTGGAGCTGTGGACCCGGACGCTGGAGCTCCTACTGGTGCTGAGGACCCGGCCGCTGGAGTCCCTTCTGCTTCTGGAGACGCTGCGCGGCCGCGACCGTACTTCGTACCGCTCCTTCAGCAGGTTCTTGGGCAGGCTCCTCCTCCTTGTCCTCCTCCCTCCGTAGAGTGTCCTCCGCCTGTCCAGCCGCAGTCACAGTTACCGCCTGCCTCGCCTCTCCCTGCTCCCTCTCCTTATACTGGTCCCACAGGAGGTCTTACAGAGCGTCGTGAGCCTGAGTCTCGTCCTGCGTCGCCTGTTCGTCCTGCTCGCACTGGTAGTCGTGTCCGTCGTGAGCGTCCTCCTCCTGTCCCAGGCACTCACTACATGACTCTGCGTCCCTCTACTGCTCCTCGACGTGTCCCTCTACCGTCTCCTCCTGCGTCCTCTTTGCCTGCCGTTCCAGACCCTGAGTCTGACCGGTATCGCGCTGAGCACCCTACAGTCACGCGTCTCCTCGCTACTGTTGTCACTGACCCTACCTTTGAGTCCTCGGCTGCGTCTGCTCTGGTCGCTGAGTTGGTTGACTTTGCTGCTGCCTGTCGTCTAGACTACGCTGCTAGCCTTGTTGCTGCGTCAGAGTCTGCGTCTGTCTATCCTCCGTCCGTCGGGGGTGAGTGTGCTCTTGGCACGGACGTCCTTGAGGACAGGCAGGAGGACTTTGACTCTCTTGCGGCTGCTGTACCTCATCTCGTGGCCTGGTTGCTTGCCCCTGAGGGAGACCCGGATGCACTAGACATCCCCACTCCGCGCACTTACGCAGAGGCGATCTCGGGTCCCTACTCCTCTCAGTGGCAGACAGCCATGGACGCAGAGATGGCATCCTGGAAGTCCACAGGCACCTACGTCGACGAGGTTCCCCCTCCTGGGGCGAACATCGTCGATGGCATGTGGATTTTCAGGGTGAAGCGGCCGCCAGGTTCTCCGCCTGTCTTCAAGGCTCGTTACGTTGCTAGAGGCTTCAGTCAGCGTCAGGGGGTCGACTTCTTCCAGACCTTCTCCCCCACCCCGAAGATGACCACTCTTCGGGTTCTGCTGCACGTTGCTGCTCAGCGTGACTACGAGCTTCACTCTCTTGACTTCAGCACAGCGTTCCTGCAGGGCAGCCTGCACGAGGAGATCTGGCTGCGCCGCCCACCTGGCTTTACTGGGTCGTTTCCCCCTGGTACCCAGTGGAGTCTCCGCCGGCCAGTCTACGGTCTCCGCCAGGCGCCACGTGAGTGGCACGACACACTGAGGACTACTCTTGCGGCTCTTGGGTTCGCGCCGTCTACTGCTGACCCGTCGCTGTTTCTGCGCACAGACACGTCGCTGCCGCCGTTCTACATTCTCGTGTACGTCGACGACTTGGTCTTTGCTACTGCTGACACTGAGGCACTCGCTCGTGTGAAGTCGGAGCTGCAGAAGAGACACACCTGCACTGACCTGGGTGAACTGCGTAGCTACCTTGGCTTGCAGATCACCCGGGACAGAGCTCGCCGCACCATCACCCTGACTCAGTCACACATGGTGCAGCAGGTCCTTCAGCGCTTCGGCTTCCAGTTCTCCTCACCACAGGCCACACCTCTGGCTACCAGCCACTCGCTCTCAGCTCCACCTTCGGACGAGTCCGTAGAGCCGAGTGGCCCGTACCCAGAGCTTGTAGGCTGCCTCATGTACCTGATGACTTGCACGCGACCTGACCTCGCGTACCCTCTTAGCATCCTTGCTCGTTACGTTGCGCCTGGGAGACACAGGCGAGAGCACTGGGAGGCTGCTAAGAGGGTGCTGCGTTACCTGTGCAGTACATCAGGCATGGGGCTGGTGCTTGGAGGACGCGACAGAGTTGTCCTCACTGGTCACTCGGACGCCTCTTGGGTGGACGACCTGGCTACGCAGCGGTCGTCACAGGGTTACACCTTCAGCCTTGGCTCAGGTTCTGTCTCGTGGCGGTCCACCCGCTCTTCCTCTGTTCTCAGCTCTAGTTGTGAGGCTGAGATCTACGCCACAGCCATGGCTGCACAGGAGTTACGCTGGCTCACCTACCTGCTGACTGACTTGGGAGAGCGGCCTAGTTCTCCTCCAGTTCTGTACGGTGACAACAAGGCGGCTCTTGCCTTGTGTCAGGAGCACAGACTGGAGCACAGGACGAAGCACATTGCTCTTCGCTACTTTCTTGCTCGAGAGCTTCAGCAGCGCGGTCAGCTTCGGCTTGTGTACGTGGACTCGAAGGCCAACACTGCTGATATCTTCACCAAGGCGCTCCCGCCTAGTGATCATCAGCGGCACTGTACTTCTTTAGGCCTTGTGTCCACGTTTCCTCACTTGCTCACTGCTTGACATTCTTTGTACTGTACTTTATATATATCCTGTTGCTTGCTTGCTAGGTTTTGATCACTGTGTTGCTTGTCTTGTACTATATCTAGCACTGCATGTGAACTGGCCTTGTGGCCTTTACTTGTGCTCGGAGTGTGGTGACGTTGTGATCCACCCTGGGCTTTGTTTTGCTTTGCTGGACTGGTCTTGTGACCCTTTGTTCTCCCCCACTTTGCCTATGGGGGTGTGTTAAACTGTATTATGCTTGTAGGCTGTAGTGGGGTAGCCAATATGGGGTACAACCCCAACTAGGGTTTCATATTTGTACCCAAACTTCTGTTAGTTCATCCATTCTTGCCTAGTGATTCTAACAGAGAGGGGTATGAAGGGATGGGGAGAGGGGGGTGAAGAGATGGGTAGAGGGGGATGAAGGGATGGGGAGAGGGGGATGGAGGGATGGGGAGATGGGGATGAAGGGATGGGGAGATGGGGATGAAGGGATGGGGAGAGGGGGATGACGGGATGGGGAGAGGGGGATGAAGGGATGGGTAGAGGGGGATGAAGGGATGGGGAGAGGGGGATGAAGGGACGGGGAGAGGGGGATGAAGGGATGGGGAGAGGGGGATGAAGGGATGGAGAGAGGGGGATGAAGGGATGGGGAGAGGGGGATGACTGGATGGGGAGAGGGGGATGAAGGGATGGGGGAGGGGGATGAAGGGATGGGGAGAGGGGGATAAAGGGATGGGGAGCGAGGGGGATGAAGGGATGGGGAGGGGGATGAAAGGATTGGGGAGGGGGGATGAAGGAATGGGGAGAGGGGGATGACAAGCAGGCTGACAAGGCTGAGACTGGAAGGGGAGATTGCAAGGCAGGCAGGGGACAATGGGAGAACACGACGAGGAAGTGGGGAAGGGTGGTAGGCGGCGGGAAGGGGAGAGTGGGAGGCTTTCGCCGAGAATGGGAACGGGAACATCGCGGATTTTACAAGGGGCGGAAGTCACCGAAGATTGACAACTTCGTGACTTTCCCGTGACAGATTCTGGTCACGGGAAAGTCATGGCTGGAAGTCCCAGGATTGAGGGTCACGTTGCCAGTCACGCCAGGGTCACCGAAATGTCTCCCAAATGTCACAAAAACCCCACCTTTCCGTTACACTCCAAGTCACTCCTACTTGACTGGTTCTCCACATTTACGTCACCGTGCCTCATGTACCTTATGGGTCACCGAAACATTACAGATAAACACCACCTCCGCGTAACAACTATCCCACTGACCAAGAGAACGTACGCCAGGTGTACAGCCGCGTCCACAAATCGGCGCACGCCACTTGTCCGGAAACCCAATGTTTATAAACGGCCCAGATGCAACACATCGCCTTCCACATCAACGACTGATGTGCGTCCACGGCTCCCGCCATGTGTCCCTCCAGGCCGTCGATATAGCCACACCTGTACAGTCAAGATTTGCCACACACTTTGGACGCGTTTTCGCCAACCACCTGAAAACACATCCAACCGTTCGTTGCCCCAATATCCCACGGATGTCACTGCGCTAAAAAAACACCAACCGCCTGCTACCTGGCCATCATCCGAACCGTCCATGGCACACACATCTCTGAACCAGGACGCAATCACCAACTGGCAGTCACGGCTAGGATGCGACGCTCTCGTCTAATCCAAACATCGTACTACCTTCGATCCAACAGCCCCGGTTGCTCCAAATGTGACACGGACATCGCAAATCTGGCGCGGAGATCTACGGCACACCTTTGTCCGTCCATTACGCGCAATCGTCGTCCCTCTTTATTTGGCCAATCCACGTGCTGCATATCCCAGGTTGGACATTTCGCTTGATCCTGAACGATCTCTCCCAGCCACAGACTCATAACCAAATAACATGGTAACATCACCTCTGGCCCGTAGATCTCCTCCCTACATATCACTACCACCGTCCATCACCGTACATCGATGCGCCGCCGTTGTGTCATCTCAACATCCAACCGTCCATCCAGTTCCCACAGGAGAAACGCGCTTCGACCACAAAGATCCCACGCCCTAAATTTCACCATACACGCACCCTCGCACACGCTGGTGTTATGCACATTCGTCTGAGGCTAGGTGTCCTCCCCGTTGGACAAAGGCATTAGACATTCTTTAAATCACTCCTCTTTACGGTTTAGCCCTACACATGTTCCACTCAACATCACACACCATGTGCTACACAACAACCAGCACTACATAATGCCACAATCTACTCTCTCCCCCACGGATACCCTCCACTAGTCGCGCACAACATTGAACTCCTTCTCCCCTCCCAAGGAGGGTTCAGTGTTCCATTCACTTCAGTTCAGTGAGAGATTGTCCCCCTCTCTCCCGCTCTCGCTGGCTGCAGGCACGGCTGTCACCTGGCGCTCGATGCCGCACGAAGAAAGGCGTAGGCCATGGCAACCCCATTCCCAAGATGAAGTGGTTGCGTCGTACGCCGGCTGGAACTCATCGACAGCCGCCATGACGTCCGTCAGGGCACACTCGCGGAGGCCGTCCACGATCTGCGCGTTGACACCCGCAGTGTTGGACAGCCTGCCCTTGCGAGTCTCCCAGAAGCGGATGGCATCGGTCACCTGCACATGACATGTAACGACCAGGGGTTAGGACTGTTGTCGTCCACATACTACGGCGGACATGGTACGAACCAATTGCGTCCAGTATCACTAATTACCACGTGCTCGAGCCACGCCATGTGGTACAGCTTCAGCGTCACAGTGCCGTTGATCATCCGCGGCTTGAACGCCGCACGGGCACAGGCCTCGATCCAATTGGAGATAGCGAATACGTCTGCGTCCAGCCACGGCGAAGTACATGTCAGTCCGCATCCCACACTCATGCGGTCCATACAAAAACGCATGTACATGTCTTACCCTCCCCATCCAGCGTCAGAGCAAGTCGCTCCCGGACCCTCGCCACCAAACGTGCCCTAGGTGCAGCCCACGGGCTTTGCACGTCCCGCTCGTCGCGGAAAAGACCGAGTTTCGACAGCGCAATGTCGCGCACGCGTCCAGCCGCCGCCGTCTTCCAGTCGCTCAAGGTGCGGTTGAGGTCAGCGCGCCTAGCCTTGTCGGCAGCCAGAGCCAGGCTCGCGAATGGGAGGGGCAGGCTCTCGATGACGGCGCACAAAGCTCGGTCTTTGCCTCGCTGCTCGGGTAGTACGTCATGGACTTGCTGTCTGCCGCGATGAAGAGATGCACGCGCAACTGCTCGCATATCTCCTGCACAGGACGAGGCCCCAGACATTGTGCATCGAAACCGTTTAGCATACGTAACCTCCACCACATCACTGGAGATAAACCAATCCGATGCGTAACAACATGGCAACCGCGAATGGTGGTTCCATCCTTTGTTCGACGTGCCTACGTGCCTTCCATCCTTTGTTCGACGGCAAAAACTTCAGCGCGCGCTGGATAACGGGCGATGTGGACGATCGCATGTGCCACCAGTGCTCTTCCTCCACCTCGTCCTCGTCCAGGTCGGACTCCTCTGGCGTTGCAACGCGACGACCCTTCCTTGCATTCGTCGCCCTCTCACACTCTCCGCGCGCATTGTCCCTCTTGCGTTTCTTTGCAGTGTGGTTGGCAAGAGACGCCAGCAGCGCCGTCTCGAGCCTCGCAAGCATCGCAGCCGTGTCTTTCTGGGTTTTGCGCATGGCGTCAAACTCCTCCCTGGTAACAGGGGCCGAGTCGGAGAGTTCCTCATTAGTCTCCTCTCGATCGTTCCGTCAGCTTTCGTCTTCACGCGGAAGACCCATTTTCCCGTGAGAATGGTTTTGTTGCGTGCCACTCCGATAGGTACGAATTTCCAGGTGTTGCGTTCTTCCAGCGCTTTTAACTCTCTGTCCATGGCTTCGCGCCATTTTTTCCTGTGCTCCCCCCCAGAGCCTGCTGAACTGTGGCAGGCTCCTTAGGCGGCGATGCTCTGTGGACGGCGGTGACGAGACCCAGTATCTGCAGCCCACTCTATGTGTAGCGAGGGAGAGTTGCGTCCTCGGGATAGACTGCTTCAGGTCCCGCTTCTGGATTGGGTAAGAAATTGGGCCCTATGCGTTCTGAAACGTCAGTGTTGACTGGCTGGGGTGTTACGTAACCGTTTTTGGCGAAATGGTAGTAGACTTCGGCGTTGATGCTTTCGCGAGGGTTGTCGTCGTCCATTGGTACATCAACTGAATAGTAGGGAAGAGGTCCGGATTCCTCCGAGGCTCCATCCACGTTCTGCTCGTCCCAGTCAGCTTCATCTGCTGCCGAAGCGAAGGCTCGGTCACCACAAAATCCTCCTGTGGGGTCTCGTTCTGCTGCCAGGTTGTCCACGTACGTTCGGAGGGTGAGTCGTTCGTAGAAAATCACGTCACGTGCTGCCACTGTTTCCTTCGTGTGGACGTAGAAAAAAATCCATGCGTTGTAGTGTTTTTCGATGCCCAGGTGTAGTCCCCACTGTGCGCGTTGTGAAAATCGGCCGGCTCGTGCAGTGTGAGGCCGGTACTGTACCCAAAGACTCGTAACATTTTTGTGCTGCCCAATTTTCCTGTCCACAGCAGATGCGGTGATGCGTTGTTCGGGAGCGATGTTGATGAGAGCAAGTTGTGCAGCATTACAGCGTGGTCCATTGCTTCAGGCCATTGGCTGTCAGGTAGCCGCATGCCATGTAGTAGCTTGCGCATGGTGTTCTAGAGGGTCATGTTCATCCTTTCTGCCACGCCTTGCTGTTGATGGGCGTAGGGAAGCGAGATGAGTCGTTTGATGCCTCTCTCTGCCAAGTACTGCTTGAACCGCTGTGACTGATATTCCCCTCCCCCGTCTGACTGGAAGCTTTTCAGCTTCACTCCTGATTCCCGTTCTGCTACTGGAAGCCAAGCCACGAAGGCTTCGAAGGCCATGTCGCAACTCGGAAGGTTGAGGTGCCAGACGTATCTGGTGGCGGCGTCGATGAAGGTGATGATGTAATTGTACGCTCCATGTCCACTTTCGCGGGCGTACAGTAAGTCGCTGTTGACTTTCTCCAGTGGTGATAAAAGCTGGTGCGCTCGGGTTGTGGTGAGAGACGAACGGCTGATGAGGTAAATCGGCCTCGGGGCAAGTGAAGCATGTTCCACGAACTCGCTGTGATTCTCTGCCGTCATGTAGGAGCAGTGAGTCCTTGTCAAGTTCTCCTGCCCTGATCGTGTTGTTTAACGTTGTGTTGCTCGGGTGTCCCATCCTTGCATGCCAGATTGATTCGCTGGCGCGGTGTCCTGGTGAATGCCTGTACATGTCGGAGTTGGAGTAGAAGCCTGCGGTGAAGTTGGCGCTTCTGTGGACTTCTCATGGTGTGGGAGCTAGCTGCTGTGCGGGAGTCGGTGGCGTGTCGTCGATGGGGACTGGTGCTGTTGAAGGACCAGCGATTGGTGTCGTAGTCGGTGTTGTCTCTGCTACTGTCGTTGTTGTCTCTGCTGCTGCCAATGTTGTGTCTGCTGCTGCCGATGCTGTGTCTGTTGCTGCCGATGTTGTCTCTGCTGCTGCCGATGTTGTCTCTGCTGCCGTTTGTCGAATTGTAGCTAACGCTCTTGTTCGCTCTGCCTCAGGTATAGTATGTGAGTACCAGAATCCTCCAGGACTGAAGTCAGGGTCCAGATCTGGCGGGTGTGTCCAAGAGGTGAAGTTGACGATGGCGTCGCTGTCGGCGGTGCCTTGGTCTGGAACGAAATCAGGAACGAAGACATTATTCTTAAGGACTGCTTTCCCGATGTACAGCTTAAACTCATGAGTGTTGCTGTCTGCTTCAAGATGGATTCCTTTCGCCATGAGTTAACTGACGCTGAGCAAATTGTAGCCGAGTCCTTCTGCGATTAGGACCTTCGACCTTTGCAGAATAACGTTGGTTTCTCGAGACTGAAGTTGAACTATCCCTTGTCGTCGTGTGCGCAGGTTCTGGTTAATGGCGACAGTGATTACGACTTCGCGTTGAAGCTGGTGTTCTCGTTGAACGAAACGACCCGAAGAGCACAGCAGTTGTCTAAGAACCAAGTATCCTTTCCGCAGGGCTCGCTTTGGGCGATGGTTGCATACGTCGGATTCGGCTCCAATGACTCGCAGCGAGGAGTGCTTTCATTGAGCAGTTCTTCTGGTGAGTAGTGCGGTGGTGACTCGGTGATGCATGAGTCTGTTGGTGATTCTTGTCATGCAGCTCACGATGTTTCTTGTGCCTTGTGCAGGTTGTGTCGTCGATGTCGTTGAAGATTGCACTATATTGGTGGGGTGCGCCTGTGTAGAAGCCACCTGACTGCTCGAAGGTCGAGGTTTACGTTGCGGCGGCGTTGAGTGCTGATGATTTGGGCAGCGAGTGCGAGGATGTCCTGACGTCTTGCAGAGATGGCAGAACGGTGGTACATGTCGTTGTACTTGATGCTTGTTGTTGTTGTCGTTGTTGTTGTTGTTGTTGTTGTTGTAGCGTCGTTGAGTGTGAAATGCGAATTCAGGTGCTGACGTTTTTCTCTTGTGACGCTCTTCGTGCAGGTCCATGTCCAGCTGTTCAGCGTGAAATTCGGCGCAGAGTGCCACTTCCGAGATCTTCCCGTGAGCTCGGAGAATAGCTTGAGTGGAGCGCCAATGAGGGCCGAGACCAGTGATGACTGTGACGAAGGCTTCCTCAGAAATCGATCCTCCGCATCGAAGGAGTCTGTCGCGCAGTCCGCGACAACGACTAATATACGCCATCCCTTTTTCGCCTGGTTTCATTTCCACTGTTGTCAGTTGTGCCATGAGTCGACTCTGGTTAACGCTGTCTGTTGCTTGATACAGGTTCTTCAGGTGGTTGTACGCGAGCTCGGCGGAGTTGCCGTATCCACGATAAGACCGGATATTCTGTTGCTCGTTTGCCGTTATGTTTCGCAGAAGAATTGTATACGCCATCAGCGACTGATACGTGTATTGTTTCTTGTCGTACTGTGTCCCGTGCGTTGGATATGGCAGGGAACCGTCGAAGTATCCAAGAATCTGCGCGCCTTCCATCATCAGCTCGAACTCAAATGACCAGGTATAGAAATCCTTGCCGTCGAACGGTGTCGATGTTTGCAGTTTCAAGACGTGCGCAAACTGCGACTGTATCTGAAGTATGTCCAATGTCTTCTCTTGTCCAGGTGGAGGCTGGTGTGGCATGAAGCTGATGGAGCCGCGTTGAGGCTCGTATGGAGCAAAGGTAGGTTGCTGCTGGTTTCCGCGTGCATAGGATGAGCCATCAAGACTCATGGGTGTGACGCCGTTGTTGTTGTCACTGTTGTTTTGATTGCGCAGGTGCTGCTTGCTGGTGTTGTTCGTAGAACGACATGAAGGAGAAGAACTTCTCCATCATGCTTGGATCGAGGCCAGTCATCTGGTTCGCAGGAGCTTCAGTAGACTCAGCAGTTGGTCTTGTCGTTGTACCTCCCTCTGTCTGTAGGCCAGAGGCTGGAGGTGGAGTGGGTGTAGTGCCGGGAGATCCGTTAGATGAGCTTCTCTCCTTCTGTCTTGCCATGCCGTCTGTTGTTGTAGGAGTTTGAACGAAGTTGGACCTTGGCTTCCTGTTAGCTCTCATACCATGTTGGGCTGAGAAAAGCCCTTAGGATCTTTTCAAGGCTAAGACCCTAAGTATGAATATTGTAATTGCGGAAGCGTTTTAGTGAACTTGTTGAACCACCTTGCGCTAGTGTGTGAGGGCAAGATAGATTGAATTATAGCAAGGTAATACAAAGCTTTTTTAAGATTACAAGGAATATGGAAATATGCAACTAACTGTTTTACTGTTGCTGTTGCGGTTCGATACAGCGACGACTCGGGCAACTGCTCAATAGCGAGTCAGTTGTGTGTCCTTGCTGTCGCGCTGCCTTTCGTCGAGTCAAAGGTCGCTGACCTTTGACCTTCGCGTAACCTCGAGCTGTTACTTTCTGTCAACCTCGGTTGACTCACCGTTGCTTTGCTATAATTCGCCTTGTTTGTAGTTCGGTGTCTCGACACATCAGAAGCGTTTAATTAGTTGTTTCCAACAGCAGCACCGCGTAAGGTTGGGTGCAGGTTTGGGGTTGGAAAACCCGAAGTTTTGTCGAACATCCCCGAAGCACCTCGTGTCGAACATCAAATTTGACTTTCCGTCGAAGAAGAAAATATGTGTCGCGATATTTGAAGTAATGTCGAAGGCGATACACCCTTTTAATGCCAACTAGGGCTTTGTCGAGTACAGAAAATCACATAACTAAAGTGTAAACGCCCTGTCGAAGAACGAGGTGCCGTCGA